TTGGCACAGAAATAAAGGACTTGCCTTGCATTACAAAGAGCATAGCAGAGCGGATTGATTGTTGAATTGATATAGCAGAGAAAATAACTGCCCGTAAATAAGTATTCTGGTAGAGTATGAGGAAAGAACGCCTCATAGCAGACAATCACTGAAAAACTAGGATTAGAAAAAATTCAAATACTAGGGAGAAATGCGACATTGTACCATTGTATGGAGTCCAAGTCACGATGAAAGCGGCTAGAATAGCCGATAGTGTCTTGGCCGCTTTGCCTTCTTGTTTTCGCTCATTCTTCTTTCGCTCCTTCTCGCTCTTCCGGTCATTTGCACTAATTGCGTTGCCGATTTTTGTGAAGCGACCGTTTTTGGCTGGAGATGCCGCATCTGTAAAAAATAATTATTTTTTGATGAATTTTATTGTGAAAGATCCCACCTTTTACACTCGGTTGGCGATCGACATCACCCGCGTGGTCAACTCGACAATCACTCCGAGATTTGCGCGACGATTCTCGTCGCATTAGATCACTATAATGAAAATTTTACCAAAATGTTCTGCAGAAGAAGGGGGGGGGTGCACAACTGACAGAAAATAATTTATTGTACAGCGTACCTATCACAGTTGCTAAGTCTTACACTAGGTCGAGCACCTTCTTCTTTTAACTCGATCAATACCTGGAATGGCCTGATTACGGTATGCAACTGACCAATGAGAACGCGCGTATGTTACCGTATAAGTATCACATGTGGGTCTATCTGTGGCTTGTGAACGTGCTCGTACTGATCCACTTCGTGGACTGTTCTCGGTTTGTGTCTCACCAGATATGGTTTCCTAAAATCTTCTGCTTTACTAATTGCTCTTTTAACCTCAGTTTTCCAGGTATGCTGTACTGACATCATTGGCAGGTATTGGGGTAAGTGGAGGGCTAGGATTTTTCTTCTTTCCAGCATAGAGTGACGAAGAAAGAGACGTGTCATCGACGTTGACAACCTGTGCCTAAAAATTTGACATAGGGTTA